GAGACAGGTGTTCGAGTGGGGGTGGTGGTGCATCGTGTAGCTCTCATTCGTTAAGAGCGATGCTGCATGATTCATCATCGTGTTCTTTGTTAGTGCACTTGTTTGTCTTTCTTTGATGTGTTTGCCTCGGGTTTGAATCCCAAGATGTCTATTTTTAAAAATTTTTTATCATTGTCTTTCATTTCATTTTCCATACTAAACATAACATCAGAGGGTAATTATGATGTGGATGGAGGTATGCACTCTCGGTCTGAGTGCGCTCTACTTCATGCATGTTTTTAACATGAGATGAGAAGTTATAAGAAACAGTGTACAGTACACAGTAGGCCTAAATACACTGTTATATCAGCTCTTCTTTTTCAATCTTTATTTCAGGAGGTGGAAAAGCTCATAGATTGGTGTAGAATACTCTTTTAAGAATATTTGCCATGGTCATCACTTAAAAACGTCATGTCGAAACTACATAACATAATGTGCAAACCACATAACGTCATGTCCAAAATAACGTCATGTCCAAATCGCATAACATAAGGTGCAAACCACATAACATCACGACCAAACTGCATACATCACGACCAAACCACATAACGTCATGACCATGGCACACAACGTCATGACGATTGCACATAATAGAGTATTTTCACATAATCGAAGATACTGTACTAACGGCGTTCCATATTAGACCTTTATGTGGATATTGAGCTTGGTTTTACTTTCCATATTTGATCTATAAATATTAATATGTAAAATAAAAAAAAAAAAAACCCAAATAAACTAAAAAATACAAAGCAATTAGTATAGTTGCATAACCATACACTAAGAAAAATATACGGAGGTTAGATTAATGCATAAAAAATTCCAAATTGTATTAGTGCACAGTGTGGGATAGGAAAATAAAATTGGGAGGTGCATTGATCATTTCACAATTGACTTACAATAAATTAGTGAATAAATTAATATATGAACTATGCAAAGAAATAACATTCGATGAAGTTTTTTTCTGCGTAAATAATTTTATTGAAAAATGGTTATTTTACACGATACATTTTACAAGCACATCTCTACAAACTGAGCCACAGTAGCATCTACTCTCTAGAGTGGTTCTCTTACTAAGTTGTCATTATTTACTTTATTTAGGTTAAGTTTTGCAATATTACCAAGATGATATGTGGCAAAGACAAGCCAAACCAGTCACTCGTCGGATAAATCAATTTTTAGTTATTAATACAGGGTTTAACAATACATTGAGAGCTATAAAATGGTAAAAAAATCATTTAAATCCGACACTTCGTTATGATGTTACACGAGTTTAAACATACAGCTGTTTAAAGAACAATATTTGAGAAATCAGCCTTCAAAGTTTACGATTTTAGGCATTTCTTAGGCAGAAACCATCCCAAAATCGTTAAAAATTGTTGTTTTAACATTAAAAATGAGGAAAATAACAGTATAGCATGATGTATAGATATATAAAGTTTAGTTTAGTGCAATAAAATAGATTTCCAAAATTTTGACATTCCAGCATGTTTTGGCCATTATCTCCAAAACAGGATTTGCGACGAGTGACTGGTTTGGCTTGTCTTTGCCACATATATAATATATAGGGTAAAATATATTACATCTTAGTTTTTGTTATATTTAATTAGGATTTGCAAAACGATTTAGAATACAATACTGTACATTCTATTATTATTAAACAGCTGTAAACATCTTTTATGGTTACAGGAGTTATTCAGTCCATGTTTTCTACTTTCAAATCTGATTGATGATTCTTGTAAAAACCTGATACACATTTACAGATGATGGGATCAGAAAAAAAAAATAAGATGAGCAAAACTGTATTAAATATCACAACATTGCAAAACTTCACTAATGCCTGCTGAAAATGGAGCATTCCATCAATGGTTGGACATGATGTACAGAATACTGCCATATAAAATTAATTTCCATTAGAGCTTATGTTAAATGGGACTTGTACACGATACTCAACTTCTTTATACAATTATGTTAAAGCCGCGTTCACTTTATCAAGATTCTGTTACAGTATATATATCTGATTTACTCAGGGCAGTAATATGACATCACCATGTCTATTATTATTACTTATGGACAAATCATACTGTTCTGTAAAAAAAAAAAAAAAAAAAACTGTGACAGTGTGAACAGACATTAACCTGGAAATTGGATACCAAGGCAATCATACACAATGTGAAACCTCCCCTAGTCATAAATATAACTGAGTACAGAGCACACTGTCATTTTCAACAGGGCGGCAGGAAGCATTTAATGATTCGTACAGCGTGAGAGTCTCCAATAACCTCAGTAGGAAATTTTGTAACATTTACATGTCTAGATGCTTGGAAATAGCTCATTAATTGTCAAAATATTGGTTCAGCGGTCGCCGTACCTGCCGTACTGGTTCCACTGCCCCTGTTCAAAATACAGTATTCACATTCAACCATTATACTCCTATTATTAAAGGTCTATGCTACAGACACAAACACAATGATCAATTTTAAACCACACCCATTTGGCAGTAAGTTCAAAGACTTAGCACTGTTCCACACATCATGCTTTGCTTGACAAATTTACTACTGTATCTAAATGCCAACTTGTGAGAGAACCACTAAAATGTTCCATTGATGTGGAAAACAATCAACGAACCTTTCCGTACAGTCAATCAAACTCAACAACGGACCAATTAGAAAGGGGTCAAGAATATGCGCGTGTTTAACAAGCACACGTTTTCCCACAAAGGCACATGTTTGTGAGTCGTTTTGTGGGATCTTAACAACAATATCCAAGGGGCGAGGCTAATAGCTGAAAGGTCCTTTTTGTGTACATTAAAACACATTTTATATATTTACACCTTGTCTGCCCATTAATATACTAATACTGTATTAAAGGCCGTTTGCAAAAGGCAATACTGCACATTTTCTAATAGGCAAAGTAATTCATTGTTTTGTAAATTGAATAATAACTCTCAGCTACCAGCTCTGACAAGACATAGATATGTACAGTATTGATCCATAGCCCTGTCAGGACTATTAAACTACATATGACATGCCTATATATGGTCATGATGACATCTCATTATGACCATATATAGGCAAATCATGACTATATATTGGCATACAACAGTTTTTTGTCAGAAAGTTTGTTAAAGCTGGACAAAGCCTAAAAATTACATATTTAATGTTTGCTGTGTTTCATTGCATGCCATGCCAAATATGGTCATGTGAAGAAATTTTATTTTTTGCACAACTTGTCCAATATTCAGTCTGATTGCAAATGTAGGTGCTGTTTAATAGTTTGGATTTTATGCCTTGCCATATGATTTTAAGGGCTTATTGAAAACGCCCAGATGCTGTATCGAACAATTTTACAGTATGTAAATAACAAGCCAAATATATTTGAAATGCTGATTGTTTAGAGGGGGCAGGTATATGTCATGACAGTGACTGGTAAAATCAATGCCATGCAAATACTGTATAAGCAATATATTATAAGGATTAGAGAAGTGAGATAGGTGAGAGAAGGAGGAATACAGGTCACAAAATTGATCCTGGGGGTGAAGAAAGGAGTACATAGAAGTAGAAGACGGGATATGAAAGACTACTGTAGGATGGGATATGGTATAAGAGGAAAGATACGGAAAAGGCAGGGGTGGGCATAAAAATAGGTCGGAAAACCGAAGTGTGCCTTTTAAACATGCTTCAGCCTTAGATATACTGTAACGTTACTTTCTACAGATGATCGACACGACAAAGGGCTATATAGCCGAAGTTTCTTTTGTCTGAAAATTTGTTCTTATTCCAAGATCAAAAGTGAAGAACATCAATTTCAGGCACGCATGCTTCACAAACATTTTTAATAAAGAGCTGATGTCCTGAATACTGCGCTCATGTTTTGTATTTACATAAACATCACATCCATTAAACCTATTTTTGAAAAGTTAATTGTTCATCCTATTTAGAACCAGTCCAACAACCACACAACAAATGCAATAATCTCAAAGCTCTCTCCACACTATCAAAATTACTTTGCCAAAAACTGTTGTATGCCCATATATAGACATGATGTGCCTATATATCACATCATGACCATATTTAGGCGTGTCACATGTTTTTATTATCAAATAAAATTTGATAGTCTGGAAAAATCTTTATTTTTTACAACACAGAGCACCTTTAACAGTTACTTTTGATGTCAATAAAATGTATAAAAACTTTAGATATAAATATTTTTCCACATTAGCGTTTATAATCAGCTTTCTTAACCATCTAATTTTTTTTGGATGGTTTAATAAATTTTGGGAAAATGGCTCCTGAATCCATCATCTTTTTCAAGGATGTCTATTTTCAGACTGTGTTCTGCAGAAATTTATAGACACCAATATTTTAGTTTACACAAATACAGCCAAGTGTATAATGTCCACAAATGGGGATTACATGATGGACTCGGTACCTTTTTCTGATTGGTGAACAGTGCAGGAATGGTGGATCACTGCGTTACCTGGACCGTCTCCCCGCTGCTATCTGTTGTTGTCGGCTGCAGGAAAACCTGTTGTGTAGTACCAGCTTGAGTTTGTATTGGTAGTTGCTGAATTTGGAATACAGGCTGTAGCAAAAAAAAAAAAAGAATTAGAAAAACATTAGGAAAGTAAAGGGCAAATATAATACTGAAATAACTATTTAAAAACGATATATGCCAATTTAAAACAAATTTAGTTATAGTTTGGGCTTGGCTTAAAGTGTTGACTGTCAAGCCCTTTTTTGCTAGTTTCATCACATAGACCAAGGCATAAAGGGTGCCACCATAATGAAAATCATTCCAATTAAGTGTAATAAAGCACGAACAAATTATACAGTAGCCTATTTATTTTAGAGCAAAATATTACTGCTATATTTTCCTGATACGAAACACGCATCAAAATAGCATTTGCAGTACTCGCTGCTACGTGGGGTTCGGATTCAACACTAGTCACTAAGCTTGGTGGTCTAGTGGTTATGACAGCAGGCTAGTTAAATATCTAAAGGTCGTGGGTTCGATTCCTACCCAAATCATTTTTCGCAAGTCAGGGAGGGCAAAACATCGCTGCTATGATATTTTTAGATCATTACATCCGGGTTCTTCCCTGAGCCTCTAGAGCGAGAGTTCACATTTCTGGCAATTATTGCCAGCAATTTCACGTGCAATATGTGCACCATGCTTATATAGGTGTGGACATGAACTAGCGTCCTAGGTGCCCTAAGTGTGCCCTGTCGGGCGTGAACTTGCATCCCTGGCAGGTGTTCCATTACTTCTAGTTTGTAACTTCATCTTACAATTTATATTCATATAAAAACTTCTACTATTTATTGTATTTTTTGTCTCACTGAAGTTAGCATGTATCACCACATGCAGCAAACTATGAAAATATGTGTTGGAAAGTTCATGCACTCATTCGCTGCCAGAGACGCGAGTTAACATCCGACAGAGTTCATTCAGGGTGCAACTGACGTGAGTTCACGTTATTCTGACACCATACCTGTGAGCCGGATATTTCAGCTGTGACAAATTGTCCCTGTCTCAGGTATTGAATCTGCTGACCGCCAAAAACCTACATGTACAAAAAGAAAATGTTTGAAATTAGGAAATGAATTAATATGATGATAAGGACAATGATGACAGTGATAATGATGATTGTGTTGTGATGCTGACAATGGTGGTGAAGGTGATGACAATGTTGCTAATAGAGTGCTACAGTGTTAAGTCACGATACCATGTGATACTACTCCGCTGCTATCGTTGCAAAATGCGTTCAACTGCATGCCATTTTCTCCACTGATAAACCACTGATCCCAATTTCTAACTTAATTATTAAGATGTTGTATCTTAGTTTTTCTTTGCAAATTTTAATTGATGATTAAATATGTGTTCGATAACAAATATAATGCGAGATTTTGTGTTTTTAGTATATTTTGATGGTAAAATATTAGATTTTAAAATTTCCATTCCAGAAAGCCTATAATTCAGGCATAATGAATGGTAAGCAATGTCTGGTTGGCAACAGAGGGTGCCACCTGGCTTTGTGACGACACAACAGTGGTACTTTATAGAGAAGATGAAGATGAGGATGACGATACTGTTGCTGTTGTTGCGTTGGTGGTGCCTAAAATAATATTGATAGAAAAACAAAATTGTTGCGTTGCCCAAATACAATACCAATTGAATAGCAGGCCGGTCAGAATTTTTTTTTTGTTGTAATATATAGGCCCAGGCCAAATTCTAGAGAAGGTTAGCCATCTCACATTTGTATTTTGGCAGGTTAATTGATAATCCTTTGCTAAAAGTATTCTTGGTTATACCTAGGGGGGAAAATGACTAAAAACAATTTTCAAGATTCTGGGTCAGCCAGGCATGGAGAACACACACACTTTTGTTTTAGTTTTGTTTATATTGATGAAAATTGTGATGATGATGGTAAAAACAACAATAATACTGATGATAATAAATATTATGATGGATGTTGATATGATAATGATGTCAATGATGATGATATTGGTTATAGGAATATAGGAAAAGTGACATTACAGTGTAGCTAAAAGTAAGAGTAACAAATGATTGTAGTAATTTACTATAACTACAGATAAAGATAACAATAATTATATGGTAATGGTACTATCAATAATAAAGATAAATATTAATTCTTTAATATTTATCTAATGAGTAAAACTTAATAACAATTTGTGGTTCACTGAATAAACAAATTTACTATGAATGTGGTTTCACAATCCTCTCAAATACTTGATTATTTTACTCTATCGGTAATAATTATTGTTATCATATCAGAATGCTAATAATAATCATAAGAAGTTAAATATTAGTAATGTTAAAAAGAATGAGTACAAAAATATAACAATTAATAATGGTAATGATACTAATAACAATATAGAGAGTGACACCATACAGTAATTTCAGACATAAAAATATGTTTGTTTGACCAATAAACCAATGGGTTCAAGAAATATAGACAAACACAATTAGAAAAAAAAAATCCAAACCACCAGTGAAATAAAAATGTTATGTGGCATACTTTGAACAGTGCTACACACTTTGCACATCAAATCCACAACAGGGGTAGGGAGCAGGTGGCCTTTGACTCTGCAATGCTAATAAGTGACTCCTCATTTGCATATCAAGGCATTTGCCACCTGTCATTACCAGTTGTCAGTGAGCCCGCACCTGAACTTCCCCGGTATTGCTTACAATCTGTGCATTCTGTGAGCCATCTTGAAGCTGGATGGTCTGACCGCCAGCTTGGACCAGCTGGGCCGGCTGTCCGTCGGCTGTCTGTATCATTTGCGCCGTTGTTCCATCTGCTTGAACAAGCTGAGTTGTTTGGCTGTCACCACCGGCCTGAACCTGAAATTCAAACAAATGTTAATGAGATATTCAATGAAAAAGTTTTTAAAGTAAATTTCAAATTTTAAAGAGTTATTTGACACAAATAAAATGGAGAAGTTCATTACAAGTCTTTGTGCCGTAAGAAACCAGAGCCTTAGAAATGTTCAGTGTAGACAAGCGTAAACTTGGGCAAGGCCACGGTGGTCAGGCCCGTAGCCAGGGGGGGTTTTTATGGTTCGTGGCGAACCCCACTTTTCTAGCGAACCCCCCTGTTTTTCTAGCGAACCCCCTCAAATTTTTGAATGAGTCCCACTCGAACGGAATGTCTGTTTTTAACTTACCTAGCATTAAATCAAAATTTAGCACCTAATTAATTATTTAGTCACCCGTTTTTAAATTGTAGCCTGCGATAGAAGCCTAAATTCATAGAATATCTCAGCTTCAGAAGTTCGGAGATTTAAATTGAACGCAACTCCAGCAAACCATGACTCTACGATGGCACACATAAGAATGGCCATGATAAAAACCCGGCTGCCGTCTCAACTTTCACTGGCCTTTGGCTGAATGTTGTAAGAAATGTACCAACCGTTAACGAAACCGGTCGCCGTCTACCTAGAGTAAATGATGCCACCAAACGAAGCTAAAGTTTTGCGACTTAATTTAACAAATGCAGATAAAGTTTTGCGACTTAATCACCTGATTGTGGATTGTGTGGTTAGTAAATCCATAGCCATACTGTCCATAGCGCGGACACTAAACTATGTGCTGATGGAGTATTTTGGGGAAATTGACTTTCCTCTTTTCCATCCCAAACAAAATATTATTAATAAATCAACATGGTCCATCTCAGTCATCATAGCCAGTCACAAAATTAGGCTAGGAAGTTTGTTTTCAATAGCAGACACACACTACAGAACGGAGTGCGTCAAAATGAGTGTTTGTTAATTTTTAGTGGTAAAGAATGATGAAACGTCCTAGAATAACTGACTTTATTTCGTCCGCTGCTGCAAAGAAGAAAACGACAGATAGTCCTTTAAGGTAGGTTATTGATTTCAAAATAAATTAGCCTAGCCTAGATGTTGACTAGCTAGGTTCGCTCCTCGTTCATTTAGAGACAGAATTATACCCAGACGACAACAAACTAGTGTAGGCCCAGGGGTGGCGTTAGAGGGGGGGCTGGGGGGCTATATGCCTATCAAATAAGTAATAAAAATTCGCCATAATTCATCAAATATCCGTGGCTTCCGGGGGACTTCGCCCCCTGGACCCCCACCGGGGGCCCTAGGCGGCCCCGGTGAAAGATAGAATTTATCGAACATTTATCCATATAAAAACAAGATTAATATTGTAGAAATTGTATTTCTAAAGATGCATATAATTCATATTTCATTTGGCAGACAATATAGCCCCCCCCCCCGTCGGGGCATTTAGCCCCTCCGTCGGGCAGGTCCTGGCGCCACCCCTGTGTAGGCCTAAGTACAGTAGGACGTACTAGGCCTTTTGTTGTAAAAGTTGAAGTGCATGTACAAAATGCGCCATAGGCCTATATTTAAAAAAAAATAAAAATTTGTTAATTATTATTGGTTGGCCTGGGACAGGGGCAGGCAGGCCAGCTATACCGTCGAAAGTCCTGGAATTCGACGATGACGTCAGTGCACGTTTACAAACGCCATTGATTAGAATGAAAATAGACGCGCTGAATTTCGTATTTGTTTTTTTTTTTTTTTTTTAATGAAAGATAGAATTTATCGAACATTTATCCATATAAAAACAAGATTAATATTGTAGAAATTGTATTTCTAAAGATGCATATAATTCATATTTCATTTGGCAGACAATATATATTCAAGAAGATATAATAAAAACGATTATTAATTCTAAAATGTGCATTAAATCTCAGCTATTATTAATCAGTATGTAGCTACTATTATGTTAAAGTTAGATTCTCATGATGTCAGATAACGTATTGAATAAGATGCTATATTTTGGGCTTTGACTTAATTTAACGATGGCCCTGTCAGTAGTAATGACAATATTTGTCCTTTTTTTTAGCCATGTAGTAAAATAGTACTATTATTTTCAGTGTACAAAATGAGAGGCAAGATGAAGTAGTAGAAGAAGAATAGGAAGAGGAAGAGAAGGAAGAAGAATAGCTTTTTTTTTTGTTTTATAATAATAAATGTGTTGAGTATATTGATATTGATGCGATGAGGGATTTTTTTAAAATATATCTTTCGGTGTTATTTAAACATGCCAATTCTCAGAAAATATTTTCTAATTTTATTATATTACCACCTTTTTATTACATAGATCTTTTTCAAAACATAACTGCTTTTAAAACATTATATAGACCCTGCTTCGCCCCCGACCCCACCATGGCCCTTAGGCAGGCCCTGGACCCCACGCCCAGAGAACCCCCCCTTGAAATGACCTGGCTACAGGCCTGGTGGTGGTCCTGGGCCTATAGTTTCTAGAATAACCTTGCAAATGTGGATTGTTTTCAACAGTTTTAAGCATTTTAAAATGCATTTTTTTTTTTCAAATATATATTTATTGTTGTAGAATTTGGCAGAAAAATTCAAAACACTTTAATATCTGTGGAGTGGAGTTGAACAGCTTTGTGGGTAAAATGCTTGCCTTCTAATCCCAGGGTCCTGGTTCAATTCCTGTTACAGCAGGACTTTTTCTCACAACTAAAAACACCCCTAAGCTTCATAAAGACACTTCATTGGTAGAAGCATCACGTTATTTTATTTATTTAAAAGGGCCCCTGAATATCAGCCAACCATCTTCTAAGATACACTGGAAGGGTTGTTGAACCCACAAATGTGAAAAATGCCCAAAAATGTAGTAACAACCACAAAAGTATAACAACACAGCACCAACACATTTAATAATGCCCACAAATGTAACAAACAGCGCCCACAAATGTAATAATGATCATCGCTCACAAATGTGGTAACACCCACAAATATAACAACAAGACATTACCTCTTCGCCCACAAATGTAATAATTTTTCTTTTTTCAACTTTGGAAAATAGGAGCAGACCAAAAAATAGCTAAATCGTGCATTTTGTGACAGAAACCTGACTTTTTGAGCATTTAATCTATGAGGCATGCGAACAACCAAAACAGTGGGAGAGAATTTTTCTAAATGCCTGGGAGGGGTTAGAGGTCTAAGGTTCTAGGAGGGGTATAATATGTGTCAAAGGTTATGTTATTTTCAAGCAATATATCTCAATGGAAGGAACAGAAAGATGCATACTGAATATTTTGAAAAAAATTAACTTTCTACGACTAACGGTTGTCAAGATACGGATGCCCTATCCTGTTATTCAATGCCCGACCCGCTGGCCAACTCCAGAACGCCAACAAATTTGATCCGGTCCACGCAACATTGCTAAAAAATAAATCATTTTCCAGCCAATTTCCAGTACTTAGTGAAAAGGTTTTTCTGTTAATAGTTACACAACAACCTACTCATGGCATTTTTAACAAGAGCAGTAGCTTGTCAAGAGGGGTGCTGATGGAGAGGGTCCGCACCACGTAAATGCCACCATTCTTGGCGCTGAGGTCTCAACATATTCAGTATTTTGGACGGTGCCCAGAAATAGAACTTAAATTACCTTTTTAAATTGTTTATATTTAACAAATTGAGTCAACAAAAACAAATTAAAGTAATAATTTTTAATTGTGACCTAAGTTTGAGCTTTTAATGTTATTAGATTGATGTGAGTGGTGTCATCATCAAATGACCAGAATTAATGGTAATCATCTATATTGCACTAAATCAATCATACAGAAAACTATAAGTTATATTATGATTTCTCATCAGAAATGTTTAATAAATATAAAGCTGGTATCGGTCACTTGGATACAAGATTAAGCTAAGCAATCGTCATATGTGGGTGACCAAGGAATTTGATATAGAAAGGGCCAAGGAGGGACATTGACAGATTGAGGGTGTAAACCACCTGAGCCTCACCATGGTTGGGGCTGAGGTAAGAAAATTATGATTATGGAACCTCTAGATGGTAGGAAATAGCACTAAATTAAAATGCTATTAAAATGACTTAAAACATGAACATAATTTTTTTTTTTTTAATTTTGAAAAGTAATCCACCACTGCACAACAGTAAAAAACAGTTATCTTGTAATTTGCGGAAAATAACAAAATAAAAATCATAAACAGCTTGCTGAGTATACTGTAATAATATAATTTTCTTTAATTTTGAAAAAAATTCAGGGGCGGGGACAGCTGTGTGTCCTTGAATCTGCCACTGCTTGATAGAATTTTGTGGAAAATTTAAAATAATAAAAAAAACCATAACAGGTGTGCTGAGTATACAATACAATTTCTTTTTTCTTTACTTTAAAAAAAAATTGAGGCAAGGGAGGCTGGTCTCCCTTGAATCAGCCACTGCACAATAGAAAAGGCATTGCCATAGATTGTACTGTACTTAAGTCTAAAAGTATTCAAGTATCAACAAATTATTTTGCATATTTTAATTAGAGTGAGAAACATTTTATCGTTCCAATTTTAAAAGCTAACATACTAAATCTAGAAAACAAGAATCAAGCAATTAAAGTGATGACTTTATTGTTCATTTTTTTTGCTTTATCAGGGGATGAGTTCATTTGCTGTTTGATAGGAAATAAATATAAAAGGTAAAAAACACTAAAAAACTTGTTACGTTAATCAAATGTACTAATATTTAATTATATATATATATATATAGAGCATTTTATCGTTCCAATTTTGACTAAAAGCGAACGTACTAAATCTAGAAATTAAGAATCAAGCAATTATAGTGATGATTTTATTGTTCACTTGTTGGCTTTATCAGGGTATGAGTTCATATTCTGTTTGATAGGAAATACAGTAATTACAAAAGGTAAACCCATTAAAAGACTTGTTGAGTTAATCAAATATACTAATTACAGTATCTAATTACATATAGAAGAAATGTATGATTAAGATTTACCTTATTATAAAAGGAATACGATACAAAGAGGCCTGCAAGCGATTTTTCAACTGGTGGCTGGTCTGAATAATATCTATTTTATAATACATTGGAACATAATAGTATTTGTTTTTGAAGCATGGAGTACGTATTCAGAACATTGGGAACAGCCAATTCCAGGTAAAGTTAATATTCCAAAAGAACAGCATCACTAAAAACTTAAATTTGAATATAATCTTTATTTTTCTCCATTTGTTTTATAATTTTGAAAAACTTGGGTTTGGGGTGGGGTGCTCCTGGCCGGCTTTCTCCTTGATCCCGCCACCGTATGGTGGACAGGGTACTGTGGGGGGTGGTGCTGAACTAATTGTACATGCTTGTATATTTACCCGCTACGCTTTTGTGAATAGGGATTAGAAAAAAACTGACTGTAATGATGAATGTCCTCCTGTCCGTGTTTCTAGTATTAGTCCATAGGTACGAAAGTATCACCTACAGTAGTTTTCTATTAATAAGACATCAGAAGTGTTTTGTTGTCTGAACAGCGAAACTTGATACGTCACTGAAGCTCACTGTACATGGAGTATTAACATGGAGAGGGAAAAACTGATGGGGGATAAAGGATTAACTAGGGGAGCTGATATGATGCCATGTCTAAGCATTGGCCGCGCCCATGCAGATCAGGGAAGCAGGCTCGGGGGAACGTCAATCTGTTGAAAACACTGGTTTGAAAAAGTATTTTTATTCTCAAAGTGGCATTTTCAACTGGAAATGCCTGTAAAAAAAAATTAATAGATTCTTGGTAATGTAGGAGAACCTGGGGTGCAATTTTTTTAACCATGCTACTGCATTCCCTCATTTTGACAAAGCAAGGCCTATACTGATGTTGAAAAAGTACACAATTTATATCAGCCAAGTTCTCAAAATGTTTTTAAACACATTTGGTCATTTCTTCCATAACTATGATGATTGAAAAAAAAAATGGCTATTTTAAAACTTGTGAGCTTATTCGAGTGAATGCCATGAACGAGGGAGAATAAAAAAAATTTCTCAACATGTACCATTTATTATATCATGTTTTTTTTACAGTTGTTGACTTTTGACCTGCAATAACCTGAAAACTGTTTTATCTGGTAAGCTTCTCCATCACAGTTTAAAATAAAAACCAATTTTTGCAGCATGCATAATAAACATAATGATTTATTATCAAAATGATCCTTTGACCTCAAATGACCTCTTCCACAAATTTAGAAAAGGATTCTTTCACTGTTCGCGCGCTTCACAGATTAAACTCTGAAAGTGTCATACTTCTGTCAGAAAAATGCACGGTTTGGCCAGTTTTTGGGTCTTAGCACCTACATTCGCAGGGGTTCCCTTAAGGTTTTTTTTAACTAGCCAAGTGGACCAGTGAAGTAATATTTTTACTGGTCCTCAATCCCTTTTACTAGCCAGGGGCGGATCCAGAAATGTCCAAAAGGCAACAATGTCCTAGGGGGTCCGAGGGGATGCCCCCGCAAAATTTTTGTGTTCTAGTCGCCCGAAAATAACATTTGAGGCGTTGTGGGCTATCTTTTTCTTTTTTTACCTTCCAAAAGGGGCCGCCCCCCCCCCCCAAATTATGCCGCGAAATATAAATACAGGAATCTATTTGTATGTACAATACTATGTTCGCTACGATGTTCGGTTTTCCGGAAAGATCGGTTTGTGGAACATTTCTATTGAATCCTTTCCGAATAAGGCAGGCCAGTTAGGGCCTAGCCTAGGCCTAGTAGATGCTAAAAATAGGCTTAGCAGCATAGGCTTGCCCAGTGAATTCGGTATGACTAGCCTACGAAAAAAGTTAACATTTAACATATATAATGTAATACGTACAGTACCTGTTGTTTAGCTGTAGTGTACAGCAAATTGTATTACTGTACCTATAAAATGAATGCTTTTATATTATTTTTACGTGCATTTTCGGTCTGACATTTTTAAAAAATTAAACTGTAAATACATTCTTCGTGGTAACGACGATGCGACTTCTTGTTGTAAAGATCAGGTCGCGCCTCCTAAACTCTGCCCGGTAATTGGTTAATTTTTTTCGTGGGGTCATGTTGCTGGGCAAAAATCCCATGTGCTTGGCTGTGGTGACGTCAGATCGCCATTCCATTTGTGGGCGCTGTTGTTACATTTGTGGGTGCTGGTTGTTACATTTGCGGGCATTATTACATATGTGGGTGCCGAGTTGTTAAATTTGTGGTTGTCACTACATTTGATTTGGTGTTTTCACATTTGTGGTTTCAAGAAGGGTCATCCTCTATAGATATGGTTTTTTAGAAAAAAAAAAACCTGACTGACCTGCTGTTGAGCCTGTGACTGGTTGACAATTTGCTGGAGCTGTTGAGCTGCGCCTGTCTGCACTTGAACACCTGATGGTATGCTAATGAACTAAAAACAAAATTCAAACAAATTAAAAATTCATAAAAACAAATGATTTTTTTTTTCTCTTCTAAAGGAATGCTTTTTAAGATGTAATATCATAAAATTGTTTTACAGAAACTAGTGTATTTAAAAAATATGTCTACCCATAATTTTATTTACAGCTAAAAATTATAGAAACACTTCCAGTCACAAAAGTGTTTTTATTAAATATCCAGTATAAATATCAGGGTACATTTTTTAAAATTCAATAATTTCTATGCTCAATTTAATAATTTGTATGTTACTGTAAAATGTCTCAAAATTATTTTGTTTATAATTTTTTTTTTTAATTTCAGGTGACGATACATCTTCAATATATGATTAACTAACTGTAATACAAAATATAAATTTTCATTTGCAAAAAAGATCACATGCCAAGCAATCAAATCAAACCAAATTTTCAATTTAATTATCATAAACTTATTAAATATAAAACAAACTTAAGGAAATACGATACCCTACTGTTATATAATATATGTAGTTCTAACCAGCCAAACAAATTAAAACAAAACAGAACATGAATTAACAACAAAAAAAAAGAAAAAAAAAAAAAAACCTGCTAGCTGACCTGTTGACCCTGTGTCACATTAGCAACCTGTATAGTCTGAGCTTGTTGCTGCTGTTGTTGCTGAGGCTGTTGTTGTTGTTGCTGTGTACCCTGCCTTAGCTGCTGAACTGCCTGGTTCTGGGCAAGTTGGAAGTAGTATTGCACCTGATCAGGCAACATACCTGTCTGTTGCACATGTGTTTCCTTAATAAATGAACAATTTATTATTTACCTTTAAAAATATCATTAGAATTAAGAGGTAGATTCAATGGAGAAAGGAGGGGGCCAAAATGGGGTACAGTATAAATTACTCTGTGAAATGTCTGCGAGTGCCATTTCCAGCTGTATAGATGTGCCATAGGCATACAATTTTGTACTTTAGCCACGACCAAGGTGGAGCTGGCGTGGTCAAGACTCTCCATGTGAAAGTCCCTACCTGCCCTCCTCTCTCCCCCCACCCCCAACACACTTAAAATTCCTGGATCCCTCACTGCAATTACATGGTGCTTGCACTCAATGCTTGTTTTCATCTGAGATATCCAAAATTGGATGAACTTGGCTTCAAGCCCTACTGGGCACAATATATTTATTTCCAAAAACTATATAAAGTTTATTTACTTGTATTTATTTCAACATCACAACACATTGACACACATTATTATTGTAATTGAAACAAAATGCAGCATATTTTAGTTCACTCATTAAATATACTTAAACAGAAATAAGTAAATTTAAAATGTAATTGTAATTTATCTATAGAAAAAGATATGTAATTACAATAGGAAATAATAATTTAATACTATTTTGAAAGCATTTCAGTTTCTATAAAATTCAGGTAAAAACATATCAGAGTTGATATTGTGATAATCAGAGTGTCATTACTGTGAAATGCTATAAGAGAAAACAGTACAATGAAGCTGGATAACAATATGTAATTTGAATTGCCTCACCTGTCGTTTTGTTGGTTTCAGTTCATCCCTTGGAACTATGTCAATTAGGAAATCAAATTGATCATACTTGGAAATTGCCATTGCTATATCATTTCTCTTAAAAAGAAACATTGAATACAAAAATATGTTAATAGAGGAGCCTAGAGGCGCCATCATATACTAATTTGAGAAAGGACAAAATATTTGTGCTGATTTACCATCCAGAAGTGTGCACAGCTCTGGAAGAAATATATTGCAGCATCATTCTTTTAAATGTCTCTATGTTCCTATTTTTAAAATATCATAAAAAAACAATTTTACAAAATATTGGATGAGGATTGTCATGCAACAAAAGCCACACAAGTGAGAATTCATTATACAAATTAGTACAGTACAGTGAAAGGAGCTGCATATTATTCAGTATTTTAGTTGGTAAGTGGAACGTACCACTTCAGTGGGTGCGGCTGATACAAACTAAATTCACTAAATTAATGGAATAAAATATATTATAAAGTGACCATGTTAATCACTAAAATAAGTCAATACGTGACAAAGGAATGTTTGGCATGAAATTGTATAATCCATTTTTACCATATTCTTTACCAGAATATGCAGTAGGTCTATCTTACCTGCTTTAACATTATAAACAAAATTATTATTGGCTCATGAATGTTGTTCTTTATTTAAAAGGTAATTTGACTTTCAAGATGGTTCTCCAAGTCATTTAAATTTATGTTACTTACGCAGAAGTTCCCTTCTTTCTGCACCCCTCCTGCAAATATCTGGAGGACCCGCCCCCAAATACTTAAAAGCTTCACAAAAGGTGGCCTTTTCGTGAGTAGTCATAACATTTGTAGTTCAGTCCAAAAATTTGACAGGCCTTGAAAACAATGATGACAATAATACAGTACGCCATCTAATTCAAGACCACTTTGGGGACCTGAAATTTGGGGTGGTCTCGGGTTCTGGAGACCACAGGCTAAAAATGGTCTCCAAACAGCATAATTAGAGGGTAGCCGAACCTGAACCGCTAAATGAAGACCAAAGCTAAAAGTGATCTCCAAAAGACAACATGAGACAACTATTTATTTGTTTGCAAGAAACTTATGTTTACTGTTTAAATCTGTTTTACCTACTTCAAACTGTTTGAAAACACGTTAAAAAAAAATATGAACAGCATGACGTAAAGTACTCATCTGGCTTATCTGGCTTCAAGCCGAATTTGGCAAGTACCGGTAAGTGTAATTAAAATTGTATTAGCATATTTAAGTCGAAAATCTACAGTATTCATATTTGAAGGCCTATTTCATAATTCATAATGCATAGCATAGTAAATTCTGTAAATACACAACACATGTTTTATTCAAAGTTCCTGCATATTGTTTATATTTCACAATACCTTACACATTGTGTAAGTGTGCAGACAGACCAAAACCAGGCACTGTTATTCTGGTATTTTTTTTTTTTTAAACAATGCACAAAGAGATAAAAAGAAAATAAAAATTTATATTTATATAAGTTAAGTTATATGGATGAACTTATGAAAATACTGATCTGTAAATATTAAGTTCAATAAATTTTTCAAATTTTAGAATATTTCTTGTTAAAAATCTGTGGTCTTCAATTGGAGGTATTTTGTCACTTGGTACTTCGATAAATTTGGTCTTGGTCTCAAATTATAGGGCCTCATACAGTAATTATTAGAGGGCGAGTTCAGTGTTAAAGGATAAGTGGTTAGTACTTTGAAAAAAGTGGTTTTGAAATAGAGGGCAAACTGTATTACATATTATGTACTATTACTATTACTAATATTCTTTATTGGTCCTCATTCTATTTAAAAATAGGAAATTTGGGCTGGGCTCTTCCCCTTGGAATATAAAAGAGACTAATACATATAAAAACTTTGTCCTTAACCTGCCAAACTCTCAATATGAGAGTTATTCGACAAGCCAAGAGTTCAGACCACAATTAAACCCTGAGACACTGGCCAGGGTTCCAACTGGGGTCTTCAGCACAAGAAGCAGGAACAATACCTCTCAGCCAACAGCTCTTCGCTATAATACTGAGTAACAAAACTACATTGAAATCATAATCACAAAATTGCTCATAGTCATTGGCTAAAATAACAATAGAAACTGCCTACTTGTAAGGTTCTTCTTTTGTTTTCTTCTGTATGGAGCCAGGCACGTAGTGACAGCTCACTTATGAATATCTCAGCTGCTTTAGAGAAGAGTACAGGGGCTTCCGCACTGATCATCTACAATGGGGGTAATAATAATAAATTATATCTAAATAAAATTAATATCAATAGAAAAATAAATAAAGATAGGAACAGCTAATAAGAGGCTTAAGGTAGTTTTTATTAAGGTACACTACCATGCAAACAAAAGGAAAAACTTAATTAACATAAAATTAATATAAAAAAAATAAATTTTGAATTGCTCAATCAAAGGAATCATACAAGCTTTAAACTATTTACTACAAAAAAAAAATTTGCCATTTACACTAGCAGAAATAGTTATATGCAAAGACTATAGTAATGGTGTTTTATAAATGTCCATTACTTGTGATATAAAAACTATCGTAGAATTTGACAGTTAAATATATATAAATATAACAAAGTATTATTTTGTATTTATTCACAATTTGTTCAAACTTCTTTCATATACAATCTTTGTCCACTAGGATTACTGGACAGTATTATAACAAATAGAAAAATTTAAAACCATTTCATTAGTATTGCACCAGCAAGAGTAACAAAAAGCCAAACATAGCGCCACTCATTTATCTCCACGTTCAATATTTCGAGCTTTGACACAATCGATGAACACCATATACTCACTTTAACATCTTCATCTAGTTTCATAATCTTCTTTATTCGTGCTAGCGGCAGTTCCTGTGTTTTGAAATGAGTCTATGAGGTGGGGAAAAACAAATACGGCTACTAGTGCTAGTTTCAAATGTATTCACATCTAACAATAAAACAGAACACTGATTTGAAACAATGTATATATGATTTACCTATGCATTGTGTATTCATACAGTTAAAAAAAACTCAAAAAACGCTTGCAGTCCCCACCAGTGGCGTATCTAGCAGTATTAAAATGGGGGGGGGGGACTGGTGGGGGGACGCGACCAAAATATGAGGGGGCGTGGAATTTATTTTCGGTGGCCACGACCACTGAAAAATATTGCTTCTTAGATTCCCGAATACATGTTAACCGTGACAGCATAAGCATAAGCATAGCATAATTTCTTTTGCTTTGAAGTTTTCGAATGGGGGAGGGGGGCGCTCAAGCTTTTTGTGGGGGATGTGCACCCCCCTCTTGGATACGCCACTGGTCACCACTACAATGCGCCTCAATGATCACTTACCATTCCGATTTTATTGATGCTGCTAGTTTTATTTGTCCAGAAGTTTGTAAGTTTGGTTTGGGATTCTGATTGTGAATCTTCCCCAGATACCACAGCCTGTGTGCTGGTATTCATTCTTCTGGAAAAAGATTTATTTAACATTAGCAAATATGTTGGTTTTGAAAAGGGGGAGGGAGGTTGGCATCAGTAAGGAAGGGTCAAGAAACCCCCCATCAGGCAGAGCTGGTCTCTCCTTAGGGGAGAAAAAACAATTCGTCGGGGAGAAAAAAATATTACTGTCGTCGACGATACAAAAAAAAAAACCAGCTCAAATTTGCGCAGAAAATCGCAAAGAAAATAGGTGCGCAGAATCGTAATTACTGCATTACACCATACTGTACATTGTATTAATAGGTCAAAGCCCAATTTTTGGCAAAATCTGCCCGGAAATCGGCCCTTATTATCTAAAATGCGCGGACGGATTTCTAGGCCAAGTTTATATAATGTATAGGTCTATTCCCTGAGCAGGCCTTATAGTACTTGACAGTCTTATAATAGTTTACTGTATACATATAGGCCTATAACATATTATTAGCAGGCTCTTGGTGCTTGACATTATTGTTGTTTAGATTAATGCTTGACCATAGACATGCCATGGGTACATGGAATTTAAATTAAAAATTTCCTTGCTTTTGTGTACTATGTTCCCATCTTTTTTTCCTGTCTATTTTATGAAAGAAAGGGGGATAGAGACCTATCTCCTTGTTGCCACTTTCCTGGATCAACATCTGGATGCAATATACCATAGGTAAACCTCAAATTGCATGAAAAATCGCATGGAAGTTGGTGCAAAGAATCTCAACCACCAATATTACATTAGTGGTGGTATAGCCATAGGCCATAATCTCTTTATAAAAAAAAACAAAAAAAAAAACACATGTGCATGGAAAATGAAATGACATTGGGAATGTTTTGTGCATACTGTGTAATATGACACTACTTTACAGCCTGGATTCAGTAAATTCAGGTGCTACAGTACATAGACCTACTCTATAACAACTCCCTGCATGATACAGACACAGCCTGGTTAAAAAATGAAAGCTGTAAATAAAATTAATCAAAATGAGGCCTCCACCAGAAAAGGACTCAAGTTTCAAGTCAGTAAGACTTCAGACCGAAAATATATTTATAGTTTTATACAGAATTTATGAAACAAGTATTTGTATTGGCTGCTAATTAAATCGTGAATTTGTCTATCTTCTTCAAGGTTAAGGTTGGAGTGCACCCATACTACTGGCTAAATAAACACTAATTTATGAAAGAAATATCATACATTACCACAATCTCAATTGACAATCTAGGCCCTATGTATAATAGGAAGCAGGTCAACCAGGCCCCAAGTCAACTCAGTCCCAAGTCAACCCGGCCCCAAGGCAACTCGGCCACATGTCAACTCGGCCCAAAGTAGTAAACTAGGCCCCAATTTACTGTATGATTCACAAAATAATTACCAAAAGAAATATGAATGCAAAGCCAAACTATGCCAAAATTAAAAAGTGTTTTAAAGTCTTTTTTCATTAACAATAATAAAAAAGCATTAATAAAAATAATACTAAAATAATAATAAAAGACATAACGATATGAACATACTGATTTATAGGCATAATAAATATACATATACTGTATATATATAATAGACATATTTAAATACTGAAATTCTTCTCCAATAAAGTTTTTCGAAAGTCCATATTGTTATACAGCATAATATTCATTTCCTATTATATGTATTATATATAAGATGTTTTGGTTTTTAAATACATAATGATTTATATATTATGTACCCTCTGCTTACTTGGACTCGAATTCAACCCTGGCCATCAGGTGCAAGCTCGGTGGTCTAGAGGTGTGATGCCTGGCTTGTGAGTGGAGATCGTGGGTTCAAGTAAAACCCAAGAACTTGCGATTTTCTTTCGCAATTGTTTTCAAAAAGCACCGAGTATTCAGGTAGGGCAAAATTACACCTATGCATGTTTCTCCCGACGCAAATCCAGTTATTGTCTATTCCATCACGACAATAACAATTACTATCAACACTACAGTACCCGCTGCGTACTTGGACTCGAATTCAACCCTTGCTATCAGGCGTAAGCTCTGTTGTCTAGAGGTATGATGCCAGGCTAGTGATCTGGAGAGGTGGGTTCAAGCCCCACATGAGAACTTTCGATTTTTTTCGCAATTGTTTTCAAAACGTATTGAGTATTCAGTACATTTCCACATCAAGTAGGGCAAAATTACACCTATTATATAT